ATTGTTAATTGCTATAAACATGGGTTCAGAATTGTTTATTTGTGATTTGTGTTGCCATTGATCTTGCCTAAATAATGCATTGCATAATAAAACTTGATCACTGATCTACTGATAACACTGGCCGACTGAGGGCGTATTTTTCTATCTGTATTATCACCTAATTTTAATAATATAACACAAACAATTACAATAAAAAAATGGTTTATAATTGAACTAAAAGGGAAACTATACATGCGAAAAACACGTATTTTTCAAATTTTAATGCATTTTCAGGAAGCTTGGGTAATTTTTGGGCAATTTTTGCTGAATCTTGGGTAATTTCGACCCAGATTGGGTACATCAAAAATTGTGAGTGGTCACACTGCTGTTGACATCCATAATCATTCTTGCGTGTCGGATTCGACCGCATGTGGCAGCAGGGATTGGAAGTGATTTTAACGAGGCCTAGCCTACCACCAAAGCTTGGCCTACACAAGTTCTGGTTCTAAACGTACACAATGAGGTCTAAACGACGAAATAGCCATGCGGGTGATCATGTTGTTACTACAACTAATAATAATAATAACTTACCTCTGCACTCCCATCGCAAGAAAGTTGCTGAGGAGGCATCGACTTCTGCTGCTGGAGAAGGTCGAGGAGCTTCTTTTCGAGACACAGCAGAGTCACAGTCGTACACAGTTGCTGTAGGCCTAGGCCTAGATAATGAACCAAAGAGGAAAGTATCCAAACGATCAACAACAGGACATCATCATAGACAAGTGTCTTCTTTAGGGTACTCACCATTCATTAATGCTTTATTGAGTATCGTTCTTAAAATTAAATAGCATTTTGTACGTCTAGACCTAGCTAGGCTAGGCCTAGAGACCTATCCTCAGAGCGCTAGCTAGGCCGGTAGCCAGGACAAAAAACCAAAACGGCAATGACCAAAACGGCAAAAATAAGTACCAAAACGGCAATGAAAATACCAAAACGGCAAAAGGCCTAGGCATTACCAAAACGGCAAAGCTGCAAAAATCAATGCCACGAATAAAGCGCCACCGGGCGCGGGCAGCAGTTCATAATTTTTTGAATCGTGTTTTGTTTTTTTGTTAGTATGTTTTGTTTCTTTTTTCACATACATGATTAGGCCTATATTATAAAGTGTTATTTATTATTATTTTTTCCCCGTTTTTACACTTTCCCATGGCATAATATTGTTTAGCCACTATTTTAAGGTTTAATTATTTAAATGTTCACTGTTTTTTGCAGTCTTTTTACTATTGAATTGTATTGTATGTTATTATTGTTATTATTATTATTGTTATTATTAAATGTTCACTGCTTTTATTGCAGTCTTTTTACTATTGAATTGTATTGTATGTTATTATTATTATTATTATTATTAGGCCTATTATTATTATTATTATTATTATTATTATTGTTATCATTATTATTATTATTGTTGTTGTTCTTCTTCTTCTTTAAAGTGTTATTTATTATTATTTTTTCTTTCGTGCATTTTTAAGTTTTATGACATAAATTGTTTAGCCTTATTTTGTCTGTATTTTGAAGTTGCAACTACTGTATTTAAATGTTTACATTGTAATTCCCCCAATATTTTTACTATTGAACTTGTATGATATATTATTATTATTATTATTATTATTATTTATACTTTTATTATTAATGTTGTTCTTTATAGTTTTTACTTTTCTTTCGCGCTTCTTTACCTTGGCTTAGTAGCATAGTATTAGTAGTGTTTTATTTATCCCTTTTGCCAAACCATACTGTAGTAGGCCTAGACCTAGGTGTTGCCATTTTGGTTTATTGCTGTTTTGACTTAGGCCTATTGCCGTTTTGGCTTTTTGCCGTTTTGACTTTTTGCCGTTTTTGATTTTATTGCCGTTCTGGTTGTGTTGCCGTTTTGGTTTTTGGCCGTTTTCCCCATTGCCGTTTTGACTTATTGCCTTTTTGGTTTTTTGCCGTTCTGTCCAGCAACCCCTAGGCCTACAGTACTTAGCCTACTGTTTTAGGCCTAGGCCTAGGGCTTATAGTGGTACTAACGAACGTCGAGGCCTAGGCCAGTATACTGGCTATGCATGCCCTCTCCATTCAAAATGTCATTTAAGATACAAAGGAACTACTAGGGCCTAGGCTAGGCCTGGCCTGTCTTAGTCCAAGGTGTGTAACTAGTTTTCTACTGTAGGCCTAGGCACATTGCCCCAGCTAGCTTAGGCTAGTGTTTACATTTCTGACTGGTTTATCGAAACCCAGTTTGCCGAGTTATTATGGCCACTTTGCTGAAACCCAATTTGCCCATAACAGCCTGGTCAGCGGTGGCACCAGAAATTTGCTGACAAGGAGTCCGACATGTCCGACAGAGGGGTCCGAGCCAAGGAGCCGACGGAGCCTTGGTCGACGGCCCTAAATAGAAAATCTCATGTAGGTTTGACAAGGAGGGGGTTTTTTTGTCTTATTTTGGTCCAAAATGTACTTTAGACCATAATAGTAGGGATTGGCACTCAATTTTTTAAGTTTATGAGCCAGCGACCTAGTCGCTCGTCGGATGACAGGGGGTTCCAGGCCTGTCAGACGGGGGAACAATGCCCTCCCTGATGGCACCACCACTGAACACGGTTTTGTCCTGTTTAAGATCTAGGTTCACATTTAGGTGGGAGGAGTCAGACTTTTTTTCATAAAAACACTTAAAAAAGGGGGCTCCAGGGTCCGCCACCTGGAAAATTTTGATTCTTAGATGGCGGGAAATGAGCTTCCCAGACTTCTGAGGTGTCTTTTAATGACTTTTAAGTTCTTCAAAATTCAAGGTTTCCCCCTCTTGAAAACGGTCAGGTAAACTTTCTCATTCTTATTACAGTAAATAGGCCTATTTATGTGTGTACTGCTGTATAAAAAATTGAGCTGCTTACGTTTTTCCATGAATGGATAACCCCAAAGAGGAAGGGAAATCCGGGGGTCCTCTATGGGAAAAATGTTATCACTAGATGGCAGGAAATGAGCTTTCCCGACTTCTGAGGTGTCTTTTAATGACTTAATTCTTTAAATCTTAAGGTTTTTCTCCACTTGAAAACAGTCTGGTAAACTTCTCACTCTTATTATCCCTACTATGTGTGTACATAACAAAAATTGAGTCGCTGCATACATACATATATTCTTTTTTCAATAAATCGATGAACCCCAAATAAAACGGGGGTCGGGGTCCTCCCCGGGAAAATGTTGGTTCTTAGATGGCGAGAAATGAGTTTTCCCGACTTCTGAATGTGTCTTTTAATCAAAATGCAAGGTTTTCCCCTTTTTTAAACTGTCAGGTAATTTTTTCTCTTTCTTTACAGTAAATAAGCCTATGTGTTGTACCGGTACACAGAGAATTTTTATTTTTTATTTTTTTAAATTTTATTTTTTCTTCCCAAGTAAGGGGGGGGGGGGGGGTCAGGACCCCCTGACCCCCCCCCCCAGATCTGCCAATAAATAAACGCATTCCTTAAATGAACGCTTCCCACAAATAAATGCTACGTCAAAGCCCTCCTCAACAATAAATGCCTGGGCATTTATTCAACAAGGTCGTCCGTGTCAAAAAATAATAATTTACCTATCCAAATCGGAAGTCAGTGCTGATGGGTATCACCATGCACATCAAAATAAAAATTGTTAAAAATTGTTATTGTTAAGAAAGCGCATATTAACCTTGCATGGATCTTCTTCAAACTTTTGTCCAAACAAAGACTATGTCCATCAAAGAAATGTATATTCAAATCTGTTAATTAAACATGTTTAAAATTTGCATTTTCTAAAGCATTCCAACTATCTACAGATCTATGTTAGACACAAAATTATGGTAAAATGCATAACATTTTTTACCCTCAATTTATAACATTTCCCCACATTTTAGGGAACCTTAAATGTATGCAATTTACTGTTAAATGTTGAGCCATGGCTAGTGTTGGAAACTACTCTATATCTGTCTCCAAGGAAAAAACAATCAGGGTACAGTATGCTGAAAATAAAAAGAAAAAAGTACATATGTTGTCTTTTGTTGTTCGAGTTGTGACCAATTAAGGGAGGGGTCTCCATGCTTAACGAGGCTAAATCTCCCACTAACGCCAACACTCTTTGATGCCAGAAAATTGATCACTTGTATTTTAATGAGCAATTAATTAGTTTTTTAGTGTTTAAAGCAGTTTTTCCAGATTTTAAACACTACAGTGTATTGAATCATGTCATGTTTGTACTTCAGAGATGAAATAAAGAACAGCCGTCTTCACAAGACCAAAACAAAGGCTATAAAGAAAGGGAAGGACAAGAAAATGAAGAAAAAACAAGTAAAAGCTGTTGCAGACTCACTGAACCTGAGACAGCAACCATTAGTAGATTGTAAAACAGTTGTCAATCTGAGAAGTGGTGCTAATTCATCACAAAAACCATCCAAAGGTATGGCATATTTGTTAGCGGTGAATACATACAATAGCCACTCCTTGGCGAAAGTACAAATTAGGTTTTCATGCAATTCAAATATTAAATTTTACATTTGAAGCTTAGACAGTATTTTTATCCTTTATTTTTTTATGAGATAGGAAGAAAGCTTGGGGGGAAAATTATTCTGATACATATTCTCAATACCGGTAATTCACATTTTAAAAATAAAAACTGTATAGTTAAAATGCTTTTGATTGATTTTACTTATTTAAACAGTAAAAAAATGGTGTCAGAGCGCAATGCTATAGGTTATCACTTACAAAATGAGATAGGAAGAAAGCTTGGGGGAAAAATTATTCTGATACATATTCTCAATACCGGTAATTCACATTTTAAAAATAAAAACTGTATAGTTAAAATGCTTTTCTAGTCTTTTGATTGATTTTTTTTATTTATACAGTAAAAAAAAATAGTGTCAGAGGGCAATACTATAGGTTATCACTTACAAAATATAAAATATCTTGTTTATTTTGTTATACAGGTAAACAAAAGAAAAATGATAATAGAAAAACTACCAAAAACAGGAAACAAAGACCCAAACCCAAGAACACTGAAACTGTAGGAAAGGGAAAAACAATTGTTAAAAGAATTGTCCAAAATGTTCAAAATGTCCTTATCAACAAAAAGAATGAGCCAGTACAAAAAAAGAAGAATGCATCACCTAAAAAAAAATTAAACAGGAGGAGGAAAGCAAATAGAAGCAGCACTATGTCTGCAGTTCGTGGTAAAGTTTGTGTCGTTGAAGGTTTCAGTAAAGAAGCATCAGATAACTCCTGGATTGATATAGACAGTACTGGAAATGATGATTGTAAGGATGGTAGTCATCCCACTTTGCAGGTGCCATCTGCAACTGATGAATGCCTCCATTTTAATATTGGGCGTGATTTGTTAGATTCTACTGATTGTTCTACAAGCAAAGTTGGTGTTGTAGATCTTGCGTCCTCAAAAACAAAATTATTCAAAAAACCAAGAGATGTAAAGTCTAAAAAGAAAGCAAAGATGAAGTTGAGATTTTCTGGTTTTGCCATGAGTATCAACGACACTAGCAATTTACCACTTACGCTGGAAGAGTCTCTTAAGATTGGTGACAGTACTGACCAAATTTACTTAAGAACCTCAACACCTAAAGACTTGGAAGGAAGTGGGTTCTTTAGTGTTGGAAAGGACACTTCGGCCATCCTAAACAGTAGAGATACTGAACCAACAGCTAAAAAATCCACACATAAGTCTCCTTCACGCAAACGCAAGATTGTAGATGAAGAAATTCCAACTTCAGATAAGATACCTAAGAATGATGCTCTCTCAGAAGCTTTGAATTACAAGTAAGAATTTAAATTGTGAAAGTTTGTCATAAAGCTCAGCAATTTGTCAGTATTGAGAGGTAGTTCCAGGTTCAAAAGTCCCTGTAACAATGTATGATCCTCAACAATGTAATAAACATCTTTTAAATTTCCAAATGGAGATGTTCCTCCTTAGTATGTTTACAGAAATCTATGTTTACCTGTTATCATACTTGTGTGCTTATATATAGTTATGCTCAATTATGTGACATCATTTCATATTTTCTTTTTTTCTCTTCAGTCTTTCTGGGTATTTTATGATTGCATGATACAATGATCAGTCATGACAACTACTGCATGTGAATTTTGTAGTTCTTCTCTAACCCGTTATACAAAGTTGACTTTTGTTTTGCAGGTTTTACAAGTTAGGAAACTCATCCGAATGCCTTGTTGTGCTTCATGTCGGATCAGTTCTTGCTTTTTATGGTAAAGCACTTATTAAAGTTGTCTATGGTCATGCCAACATTTTGGGCCACCGTTTGATCAACCTTCACGAGTTTACTCCAGTTTTCTCTCCAGAAAGTCACAGTGCCCTCTCTATAACCACGGAGAAGAGTAAGGTTAATATCGTTGACTTGACTAATAAGTTAGATGCTATCAGTTTTAACCCTGATGAGATGAAACATGAGATTTTGAATCAACTGTGTCTTGGTAACTCCTGTTTAATTTGGATTAAGAAGATGGAAGATGGACTAACTCGTTACTTGTCTTGTTTTGAGGAATTTGCAGATTTATTTAACACAAAATTGCCAAAACCTTATCTACAGGTAAGTTTTAATATACAGTATGCAGGGGCGGATCCAGAGATGTCCATAAGGGGGTGCCGAAAGGGGGTCGAAATTTGGGCCGATCGACACAACAATGTCCTACGGTGTCCGGCGGCATGCCCTGCAAAATTTTTGTGTTCTAGATGCCCGAAAATAACATTTAAGGTGTTCTGGGCTATCATATTTTTCTTTTTCTTTATATTTTCTTTTTTTGACCTCCCAAAAGGGGAGGGGGGGGGGGTGGGGCCCCCTAAGTCCGCCCCTGGTATGTTGCTTTTATGTGATTTTATTTTAAATGCACCAAAAAAAAATACACCTTGATGATACAAAAATATATAAACCTTAACTAAGGTTTTATTTACAAGGGTTCACACAGTAATACACACAAATATAGAAGGGAATTTATATAAAGTATACTAATAAAGGTGTGGCTTGGTGTTAAGATGCATTAAATCATGCAACACACCGCGCTTTGATCATTGGTTGATTTGATTCCGTGGACAACGTGGTGATACATTCTCAGTTTGATAGTTTTTTAATGACAATCCCCTCAGACTGCTACCAGCAATGAGCAGACAGCATAGCATTTTAGAGCACTCACATAGAGCAGAGATAGATGCGTTGGCAGACCATCAAAAAACTGTTGACCAACACAGTGTCAAACATCAGTCAGTGTAGTTTCTTATTGTAACAATCAATAGTATCATTATAATTCATAAAGAAACCTCACAAAATATAGCTTCACTTCCAATTATTATCCTCAGCATGTTTGACAATGGCATCTTATAAAGATATGCCATCAGGTGAACCAGCAAGGAAGATTGCATTATTTATCATTCAAGTTGTTAATATTTTCTTATTCCTTTATTAGACAAGTAATGTTAGTATTGCATTCAGCATTGGACTACAATTGATCAACTCAGACAAGGATTCCCAGACAACATTCCAACCTCCTCCCAAATATGAAGAAGTGTGTGGTACTATCTGCAGATCATCAACTGACAAAACACCTGTAGTGATCACCTGTGGGAAGAAAAATGTTGGAAAGTCTACTTTCTGCAGATACTTGATTAATTCACTGTTGAGAAAGTAAGTACGTTGAGTAAGATACAAATAGAACATGGTGTGAGCGAAGTAGTGATTTCTACAGTACTCCTCAAAGTGTTGAATGATTGGGACTACCTCCCGACGTGAAGCATAGGTGGGGGCAGTCCATTTTGGGTAGTACTTTTTTTTCCCGCATCTGTGTAAATTTGGCACACACAGGGAAAGTAATCAGAACTACCACACCACGTACCAAGTAGAATTTACCAATAAATGTTGTAGCTATTTATGAGGTATAGATTAGAAGAATAAAGAGTGGCTCTAAAGGAATGCTGGATTATAAATGTATATATATTTTAATTAAAATTTCATCAGATCCCAGGTGCAGTTGATTTATTTATTAAAATAAATTCAGCCTTCATTATTAACATGTGATCAAGTATTTCTCTCTCAATAAAGTGCATATTTTATATTTCCAAATTTTACAATTGAAAATTGTTTTATATTCTTATCTCTTTTTTAGGTGTAAGCAAGTGTATTACTTGGAATGTGATGTTGGTCAGACTGAATTCACACCCCCAGGATGTGTGTCTTTGAGTCAGGTCTCTGAGCCTATCTTAGGCCCTCCTTTCTGCCACCAGATGCAGCCTGAAAAGTTAGTATCAACTAAGCATAGAATATTACAATACCACAGCAGCCTGGTTACGTCACAGTTGTTTTTTTCATACGGAAGGGGAAAAAAGGAACAAATCATTAATGCTAAATGTTATATTATTACTAACATATATAAGCCAAATGGTATTCTATTAAATCTCACAAGAATTATGGAGTGAGCTTATATGTCAACAATGTCCCTTTAAAATCCATTGGATGAAACCTTTTTGACAATTGCTTTACTCAGCAGTAACATTAATTATGTTGGTCAGACTGAATTCACATTCCATTCATCAACTAGAAGGAAAAAATGAAACAAATCATAAATGCTAAATGTAAAATTTATATGATGGTGGCACATTAACAACATTAAAGTTATCTCTACATTGTTTTCACTGCCAAATTTATATCTGTTCAGTAGCAGACATTACATGAAAAGTATTTGCTTCAATTTTTTGGCCGCTTTAATAAATTGTTAGCACTTACTATTCTGCTTAAGCTCAACAGTTGACATAAAATATAATATAATAAAATAATGTAATAATAATAATAGTAATAATAATAATAATACTAATAATAATTAATATATTAATAATGTTATTAATATACTTATACATTATTGTCATGACCTGTATTACACTTCACAAAGTCAAAAAAGGTAGAAGAAACATATTAATATTATATGTGTCTAAACAGTTTCTACTCATTCGGAAGGGGTCATGGTAGAAGCGTCTTTGTCACGGCACTTCTTATGCTAATTCTTCCACGACCACACAGAGGATAGGATAAAAAGAAGCCACATATTATATGACTTGGACGTTGACTCCGACATGATCATTCCCCCCTTCTTCCTGTGAGACTGCTCACTGAGCACTTGATTGGATGGAGTTTATTATCATGCCCAGGAAAATTTACTCTCTTTTTTTCTTTTAACTGCTGGTAAAATGAGCCCCCAACAGACACCATCCTGGTATTTCTATCTTTCTGGGCCATTTCATTAAAAAAAAATAACTACCTGCATACCTGTATTAAGCTTTTTTTTTTTTTTTTTTTTTTTTTTTTGAATATTTAAACATATTTTTTATATTCCTTTCACAAAATAATCCCTGTCCGGTGGGGGCGGGGGGGGGGGGGGACAGCTATGCTACAGTATGTAGAGCGATTGCTATATCGACAATGTAGCTATTATATGGAAAAGAGCATTAAGTCTAATATCTGTCTCTTATACACATCTAGATGTGTATAAGAGACAGGTGTCAACATCAGTCAGTGTAGTTTCTTATTGTAACGATCAATAGTATCATTATAATTCATAAAGAAACCTCACAAAATATAGCTTCACTTCCAATTATTATCCTCGGCATGTTTGACAATGGCATCTTATAAAGATATGCCATCAGGTGAACCAGCAAGGAAGATTGCATTATTTATCATTCAAGTTGTTAATATTTTCTTATTCCTTTATTAGACAAGTAATGTTGGTATTGCATTCAGCATTGGACTACAATTGATCAACTCAGACAAGGATTCCCAGACAACATTCCAACCTCCTCCCAAATATGAAGAAGTGTGTGGTACTATCTGCAGATCATCAACTGACAAAACACCTGTAGTGATCACCTGTGGGAAGAAAAATGTTGGAAAGTCTACTTTCTGCAGATATTTGATTAATTCACTGTTGAGAAAGTAAGTACATTGAGTATTAAAGATATTATACAAATAGAACATGGTGTGAGCAAAGTAGTGATTTCTACAGTACTCCTCAAAGTGTTGGATGATTGGGACTACCTCCCGACGTGAAGCATAGGTGGGGGCAGTTCATTTTGGGTAGTACTTTTTTCCCGCATCTGTGTAAATTTGGCACACACAGGGAAAGTAATCAGAACTACCACACCATGTACCAAGTAGAATTTACCAGTAAATGTTGTAGCTATTTATGAGGTATAGATTAGAAGAATAAAGAGTGGCTCTAAAGGAATGCTGGATTATAAATTTATATATATTTTAATTAAACTTTCATCTGATCCCAGGTGCAGTTGATTTATTTATTAAAATAAATTCAGCGTTCATTATTAACATGTGATCAAATATTTCTTAATAAAGTGCATATTTTATATTTCCAAATTTTACAATTGAAAATTGTTTTATATTCTTATCTCTTTTTTAGGTGTAAGCAAGTGTATTACTTGGAATGTGATGTTGGTCAGACTGAATTCACACCCCCTGGATGTGTGTCTTTGAGTCAGGTCTCTGAGCCTATCTTAGGCCCTCCTTTCTGCCACCAGAAGCAGCCTGAAAAGTTAGTATCAACTAAGCATAGAATATTACAATACCACAGCAGCCTGGTTACGTCACGTTGTTTTTTCATACGGAAGGGGAAAAAAAGGAACAAATCATTAATGCTAAATGTTATATTATTACTAACATATATAAGCCAAATGGTATGCTATTAAATCTCCCAAGAATTATGGAGTGAGCTTATATGTCAACAATGTCCCTATAAAAGTCATTGGATGAAACCTTTTTGACAATTGCGACAATTGCTTTACTCAGCAGTAACATTATTTATGTTGGTCAGACTGAATTCACATTCCATGGTCATCAACTAGAAGGAAAAAATCATAAATGCTAAATGTAAAATTTATATGATGGTGGCACATTAACAACATTTAAGTTATCTCTACATTGTTTTCACTGCCAAATTTATATTTGTTCAGTAGCAGACATTACATGAAAAGTATTTGCTTCAATTTTTTGGCCGCTTTAATGAATTGTTAGCACTTACTATTCTGCTTAAGCTCAACAGTTGACATAAAATATAATATAATATAATAATGTAATAATAATAATAGTAATAATAATAATAATACTAATAATAATTAATATATTAATAATGTTATTAATATACTTATACATTATTGTCATGACCTGTATTACACTTCACAAAGTCAAAAAAGGTAGAAGAAACATATTAATATTATATGTGTCTAAACAGTTTCTACTCATTCGGAAGGGGTCATGGTAGAAGCGTCTTTGTCACGGCACTTCTTATGCTAATTCTTCCACGACCACACAGAGGATAGGATAAAAAGAAGCCACATATTATATGACTTGGACGTTGACTCCGACATGATCATTCCCCCCTTCTTCTTGTGAGTCTGCTCACTGAGCACTTGATTGGATGGAGTTTATTACCATGCCCAGGAAAATTTACTCTCTTTTTTTCTTTTAACTGCTGGTAAAACGAGCCCCCAACAGACACCATCCTGGTATTTCTATCTTTCTGGGCCATTTCATTAAAAAAAAAAAATTAACTACCTGCATACCTGTATTAAGCTGTTTTTTTTTTTTTTTTTTTTTTAATAAACATATTTTTATATTCCTTTCACAAAATAATCCTTGTCATTTAATTTTTGTGCTTTGAAAAGGATGTGTTACTTTGGCGATGTTAAAGTGAATGATTTTCCAGATCGTTATATTTTGTGTATTAAGCATGTACTTGATTACTACCAACACTCTTGTGCTGACACTTCTCTTGTTATCAACACAATGGGATGGACAACAGGTAAGGTGGTTTAAAAACTATTAAAAATTTGGTATTATCTTGTAAGGTTAGCATTTTAGAAATAGTGAGAAGTAATTTAATTCATGGATCAAACTACAAGAAACGAACTGTTGTTTATCCTTGGATCCATGATTCAGTCTCTAAAACATTTCAATAAACATTATAACTTCATAAAAAATGTCAAGAAAATTATATTTAAAAAGAATGTAGTGTGAAACTTGAATAAAAGCCATGGGATTTTTTTCTAGATGGTCTTCTTTTCAAAATTACTTTTGTATTAATTGGGGAAAGGCTATTCTATACTGGGCTGCTTTTTGAAATTTGTTTTTTTTTTTGTTATTACTTTTCCAAACTAAAGAGTGGGGGGTGCGGGAGATACTTTTTGAGATGGGCTTTTTGAGATTAAGCCTGTTGCACTGTAATCTCATAAAAATATCATGAACATATCAATGATAAAAATATGCATGGTCACTAATTATATAACAAAATACAATTTTATTAACATAATAAGAAAAGTAGCAGTAAAGAGGAATAAAAGATTATAAATTTTATGTTCTCTTGTAATGTTTTAAACATGCTATATTATATTTTTTAATTATGAATTTTTGATGAAAGTAATGTAAAATTGATAAATTTGTATACTAAAAAGAGAGAAGTCCACTGTATTTGGAATGTTGACAATTAAAGAATAGAAACAATAGTGCATCTCATATTTTATGATAGGAATATTGTATTTCAGACATGGGGTTGATGTTGTTGATTGACACAATTCGAATGGCTAACCCTACACACATTGTACAGTTCATACCACCTATTCAGTCAGTCCCACCTCCACTGGAAATGGAATATATTTCATCAGCTGAAGGCTGGAGTGTTAAGGAGACAGATCTGGGTTTGTCTGCACAGTTACTCAAATTGAATGTGGATGGGGAACAATCTACAAAGTAAGAATTTTTAGTATTTCAATAGCTTCATTTGAAAAATATTTCAAGTTCATATTGCATTTAACAGACATTTTAATTGCTAACATTCAAAATTACATTTTTTTTTTGTATTTTTAAATTGTATATTTTTTATTTAATGAAAATTGGTTGAGTATTATTTGAGAGATTATGATTGAATTTTTGGATATAGGTTAAAAAAAATTTAGCTTTCAAATATTAAGGTGTGCAAGATAAAAAAAAAATATTAATTTGCAATTGAATTTAGTCATTGATATTTAGCAGAATTGTCCTTCATTATCACTTATCAAAAATAAAAAAAAATCTGGAATTGGATGCTGATTTTTGAACATTTTGGGTGCTAGTTCAAATAAGGTATTGCCAGAGCCAGTTACAGTTAAATAAATAATATAATATTATATTGCATAGCCACTTGCTTTAATTTTCAGCAAGTAATGATAAATGATTAATGAATTTGTTGATTTTTATTTTATATATTTGGATATCCATAAATTTCCATCTGCAAAAGCAGTTAAAAAAAAATAAAGTAAACTAAATTATTTGTTTTGTTGTGGAAGATAGATTTTCTTTCCATTTACTACAATATATGCAATATAAATTCATTTATCAATGTACAAATCATACATGGGAATACTATACTCTGTTTTCTGATATCTTTTATCCATTGTAATCGTAATGTTATCTCTTCATTTTAGCCAAAAGTATAAGGCTTCTTCTATGCGAACGTTAGCACTTCTGTCTACCTTGTTTGATCTTCAGCCTAAACCACTACCAGTAGATCCTTTAGCCTTATCAGGAATTGTCCCTGTAGTGGTACCGTGGAAAGATGTGGCGGTATGCATCCCTCATTACTATGTTCCAAGATCACAAATCCTGTATGCACTCAATGCCAGTATAGTTGGTTTGTGTACATTAGACTCTCAGCAGGTAGGTTTCAATGTTATTCTTTTCATTCATGTTTTAAGTGCGTAGCCCATCAGTGATGCTGATATGAAGGGTCCCACTGAAGCAAATCAATAATAATTTACTTTTTAAAAAAAACAGTAAAAAGACAATTAGCCTGGTTGATGGAAAAATCTTTAAAAATATATACATGGATGAAAACCTGAGGAATAAATTTAAAAAAATATGTATTTGTATGTTGTTTTCCAGGTTGCCATGGCAACTGAAGATGAAGAGGGTTATAGTCTGAGAATTTTGTCATCATCACCAATATGTGAATGCATTGGTATAGGTATGTGCCACAATTATTGGGCCATATGTCTTCCATAATTTTTAACCATTTCTAACATCCCACACAATCACACACCGTTTACATATTACAAATTACATTCTTTTATGAAATTTTATCTATTGTTCAATTGTGTGCGAAATCTGTGTTTTTTTATTATTATTTTAATTGTCTTGGCCTTTCACTTTTTACATTTTAAACCTTTCATTTTATATACTCTCTAATAATGTAGTTAAGTTTAGTTTTCTGGGGCTCCAGACTTTTGTCATTGTGATTTTGTTGCTTTTGAGGCCCAAGACACTTGTCTGAACAAATAAATGAAATGAAACGTGTTTTTTTTTTGTCTGAAATTGCATTATGCCAGAGTAAATGAATGATACTCCTGGGGGGAGAGAGAGACAACGTAGAAAAAGTTGCTTGCCCACAGACACAAGCGACTTGCATAGCGAGGGATTTAAACCCTTGATTTTATGGTTAAGAATCCGAGCCACAACAGTTTTACCCCCCTTAGATATTATAAAGGATTAACATTACAAATGAATAAGTATTATAAGTAACTAACATTTTTGAATGTTGCTTTGTTCTGGAACTTTTCTATATGGTTGGGTGGGAGTTAATCTGTTTTGGTGTCCAAGAATTACTCCAGATGTTTTAACAGTAGTTTGTTTTCCTCTTACTTACTAAACATTTTTTTAAATCTTTTGCTGTGATATTCCAATAGGAAATCAAATAATAAAAAAAAAAATTCTATTAGTAGTGCAGTAATGCCATCATTATTAAGACCAGAAGTGTCCTTCTGACACTTTCCTGGAATATAAATATATTGATATTAAAATTTCTTTCTAAAAAGTTTGTCACTTTATAAATTTATTACTGTAATCTTATTTTTACTAGGTGTGATTCGTGGCATAGATCCTGTGAATGAAGTTTTCTATATCTTAACTCCAGTTGCTGAGCAGCAGCTCCACAATGTAAATCTTCTAATGGGAGGAACTATACCTGTTCCTAAGCAACTACTTGAACAGGTATGTGGTTTTAGTTTTAGACAGAAGATACACATACCTACATCTCTACCTAAACACCTTCAACATAATATAGTTGCAGGTGTTAATGCAATTTTCTTTTTTTGATCTCTTATTATTCATACAGTTAAACTTTCCTAAGTCGACTTTGCCTACTGTAAAGTCAAATAATTTCTAAGTTGATCTAATTTTACATGCCAAATTGTTGTGTTTTCCATTATTTAACAATCTGTAAGTCGAATTTTATCTAAGTTGAACAATATTTTAATGGCAGTTTGGATTCGACTGAGGCAAGTTGAACAGTATATTGTATGTCATTGTTACTTTATATTGTATTGTATTTGAATGGATACTAAATAAATAATCTAATGTAAAGTAAATGAAGTTCACTTAACCAGATTTCCAGAAGTGGCTTTCTCTCAATTTGTGACCCCTGCTGCTAATGGTAAAAGGTAGACAAAATTAGTAGTAGTAGAGAAGAGGATATATACTGTATGTAATCTTTGCACTTTTGTTTCAGGGGCAGGGAGATGACGTGCCCTATACAAAACAACACTCCACATTCAGAGAAACTGGTTCAGCTCCATTGAGGCCGCGCAAAAATCTAAAGAGACCAAATCTTAGATGGAAGACTAAGTTTGGCAGAAAATAAAAATATCTTATGTGCAGAAGATGACTCAAAATGTTAGAAACCCATTGTTTATTGATGGCAAAATGCAAAAGTTCATGATGTCAGACAATGCATGCAGTGGTATTTGGTACATAAGATCATAGTTTAGTCTTGTTGCTATAAAATTGCATAATGGAGAGCAGTTCTATACGGTAGTTATATTTAAATTTATCTTTGTAAGAAGTTATATTCTGTATCATTAATAGAACTTACAAAAGTTTATTTGTGTTATGTTTATCCTTAAATTATTGTAATCAATTAGAAAAGTAAGTGTTTAGAGAAATGTGTGTTTCCTTTTATCATTGCCGTTTTTCAATCACTCAATCACTCAATCAATTGTTGGTCAGTGGCGCATTCATCAAAGTCATGAAGTTTGCAAGAACTTATTTTATTTATTTATTTTATATTTATAAACATTTGGTTTAAAAATAAGATAATAATAATTTAAGATAAAAACAAGACGGCAAATTGCTTAATTGTTAAAGTATTTAATTTTATTTTGTTAAAAGGTGAATATAGTTTTCGAACCTATTTTAGAGTTAAAAAAAAATGGACGGATAAAATGGTTTAAAAGGACAGAGTGCGACCAAATCGAACAACAAACCCTTAATTTTAGAATAATGATAATATAAAAATTATTATTTAAAATGGAAAAAGTACATTCAAAAGGTATGGACAAACATTCTATGACAAAAATCATGATATGTGTTATACCTTTAACACAGTTAATCGGTAAATTATTTCTCTATACTTGTTCCACTAACTGTCACCATGTTGAAGACACTTGACTTCATTGACCATGAAAATGGTTGACATGTACACAGCCATTGAGAGAGATCCTTGTTTTAAAATTTTATATAAATGAACACCTGTTGTCCGAAGTTGGGCCCTTAACAGGCAGGGGTGGCGGTAGGATTTTCTTGATGTAGGGGCCGATGCCCCGACGAAGGGTCAGATTTCGCCGACGAAACCAAAGTGGGCGTGGTCGAGATTTGATTTTCTCCCTGGCGGGGTGGCCAGCACTGGCCCAACGCCCCCCCCCATGGGGGCTGTTTCCCCCCCCCGCTGGCGCCACCCCTGTTAACAGGTAATCTCCTATTGAGTTGGAAGGATCCTGGAAGTCAGAGGCGTTCATTTCCCTGATCAGGTCAACTCTAATCTAGTGCTAGACAATAATACACTTGCTGAATATACAGTGAGATACAATTATATGGAGATAGTGATGAGACTAGCTATTTAATTCAAAAAGTTGGGACATTTTATCATTTGAAGTCACATGAGTAAGTTCGATAACAGTAGTTGCCTTGGAGATGTACTGTGCAGTGACAGCACCAGCGGGGGGGGGGACAGCATGGGGTTTAAGGGGACCCCACCGAACAGGTCAAACCCCCCCCCCCATTGGACAGAGCTTGTCGGGCAATTGGACTAAAAAATATATAAAAATTGGCCCGCACCATTTCACATGTCTGTGACAATTAGAGAGTCATTTCTGTCCATCCAGAGGTTCCTAATCTTAAAAAATCTCATTTGGGAGGGGGACCAACCTCTCAAACCCTTTCCCCAGCTCTGGACTTCGAGCCCAGAAAATATATCCTAGAGCCACCACTGGTTCTGTGTTTTCCTGAAACCGTTGCACTATGGATGGAATTGTGAAAACTCCCTTCTTTGGAGAGGCACTTTGCCGCGAAAGAGGGACATCAATATCTTAAACAAGCTACAGCCAATCCCTCTTAATGGTTAAACGTGAGGAATATTCCACAAAAATATTTCGGTAATTGCCGTACTTGATACGTGTAGTTTCCATATAGCTGCACAAGTTCTGCAGCAGCATCTCCTTTGGATACTGAAAATATTTTACTTTGCAAAGTGTCTTCTACAGTATTTGATAATTACTTGGGCCGCCTAGTTTCAGAATAGCTGAGTACTTAGTGAAGGGTTTAGAGTTCACGGTAGCTGCATATACTTGTGTTAAATTCAAAGAGTACAATGTATAAATATTATCTGATCGATTTCGAAGGTCTGTCGGCCTTTACAAACGAGTTTTCCTATAGGGCTAAAACACATAGACTCATTGCTTGAAATATCAAGATGCCAATAAACCAAAACAGCAGCGCCTCGTAGTTTGTGATGATTTTTACTCCATGGCATAATGCCTACTCTCAATTTTTTTAAATTTTGAAAGATTTTGGGGGTGGGGGAAGTCTCCCTCCCCCTCTTAAATCCGCCACTTGGTTTAGTATGTTAATTCAGTGTTTATTGACAATCTAATCTCTATCAGGTATCTATTGGTATTGGTATTTATTATTTATTTGTAGGCCTATATATGACGATGTCCAGGGTCTTTTATAATTATTAATAATTATACATACCGTAACAAAGATTACTATTTGATACACTGTAAACATATAAATTCTAGATTAGTAGAAGTCATGAAAATATTCATGAAAAAGAATTAAAAGCGATCGATCAATTACCACCTTTCATCGATAACCTTATTTAAAATTATTTTGGGAAAAACACTTGATAATGATACTGGATGAATGTATACATTTAATAATTTTATATTATTCTTTACCTACCCGGCCCCCAGTCACTTGCCCTTCCAGGCATCTCGTGCCATGTACTAGAGTCACCCACCTAAAACCCACCATGGTTGAGCTGAGGTGAAAAACAAATGATTTACCAAAATTATATGCCAAGAAATTTTTGTACTACAATATTGAGATGGATAATAAAAAGTAAATAATAGATAATGTCTCCCTCTATTGACGTAAAACTTTGATTACACTTTTCGCGCCCTGCCGTCACACGTTCCAGGATTTATCATGGAAGCTAAGAAGGATATCGTATGTATTCCATTGTGAACTGTGTGATGATAATATTGGAAATAATAATGATGATTATTCGCACTACTGTAGGCCTACAGGGTAGGCTAGTAGGCCAGCAGATGTTTCGACTTAAGGCTACATAACAGGTTAGTAAATGAAACGCAATCTTTTTAGTTTCTCGTCTTTTAGGGGGCCCGGCTAGGGCCTAGCCTACGCACGTAGCTAGGGCCTAGTAGTAGTACTAGCCTAGTAGGCCCACTGTAGCCCAGGCCCCGACCTAGGCTTAAGCCTAGGCTAGATTAGACTACTGGTACTGTAGGCCTAGTAGGCCACCACATTGCCAGGCTGAGCAGTTGTCAGTCAGTGTAGTAGGCCTAGACTAGGGATAAGTCGCTAATTAGTAGGGTGTCCAGAGGTAGCTTCCATACTGTGTGCCACGATAACGCTACCGCGCGCCCATCGCTAGGCACGCGCTATACTAACGCGGTGTTTCTCGTTACTGGTAAACAATTTTGATTACTAATTAGTGATGATAATAAATGAGCTATGAAAAAAATTCTTTGTCTATTACTTTACCTATTTCTCTGTAATATCAAAGGTTCAAAGTGCGGTATTCTAACGTTAGTTTATGGAGGGCTGGTCGGCCTAATGACATTTAATAATTTTATGTTCTTTTTACATAATGAATATAATTTCCTTTTTTCCCCCCATTTTTAGTTCCTATGCATGTAATGCACTTTCCACTGTTTTCCCTGTGTGTAGTGTGTAGTGTGTGCGTGTGTGCGTGAAAAAATAGTTTTCTGACATCTTGTTGTTCGATGTGAAGATTCTGCAGTGTTCAGTCAGGGTTCACGCTAACTGTTCGGCAAGTCAGCATGGATGAAACTATTTTGGTTTTGCAGAAAAAAAAAATCAACTGCTGTAGGTGTAGGCCTTTTTGAAGAAAGCCTAAAATAAAAAGAGGGTTTTAATACTTGCTGAAATACATCGTTTTTTCATATAGATCTCCATTTTTCGCTACCTCCATGCGACGTTTTTTTCTGTTGTTTGAGTAGTCATAATGAAGGTACTATATCCTCGACAGTTGGCTATGCAGCAGTGTACCCTTTGAATGCAAACTGAAGACAAGTGGCAGCCGACTGTCGGGTACATAACGACTATCTAGCTTAGGCTTTCCACAAAAACATTAGGCCTAGGCCTAGTTTAGTACAGTAGTTACTGCGATGCGAGGGTGGTAGATCATTTAATCAATGATATCCTGTTATCGTCTAATACGTAAAATACATGACGAAATTCTTCCCCTTAGAAGAAATGGTCACTGGTGGGTGGGATGATTGATTGCTAATTGCCTACATGCTGCCTAAAGAGCCTTCACAATGAGTAAACAAGACCTTGGTAGTACGAGAAAATCGCACACAGTTCAGCCAGTAACTGCTCCAATCATGGTCAAATTTCAGAAAGTATACACAATTTCTGAATCTAATATTATTATTTAAAACATAAAATGTTTTAAACCAAAATCCGACCATAATGAAAAATGACAGTAGCTGTACGTCTGTGGATTTACTTTACTTTTTTCACGAATTTCGCGAACGTAAAACCGTGACTTAGCGATCTGGAGAATACTAGCCAGAAAGATGCATCAATATTTTATTAGTTGTCAAAAAACAAAGATGGTAATTTTGGTCATTTTCAATACACATATGTATTGAAAATGACATGGTGTATTGGTGTTTATGCTGGCCTAAATAAATATAAGAAAACGATTCTTTCTAGCCTATTCTATTTATTTTATGATCGTGTGGCGTACAGCAGCAATGTTTACTCACATTCCCGGCTATCCAGGGGCTATTCTACAGCTTACAGCTGATGTATTTCAATCTAGGCTCAGAGAGTAGTAAATCTCTATTTTATAGGGCCTCCAAATCGAGCGATGAATATTTAGTTGACAGTTAGAATTTATGAACAGAGAATAACTCGTCATGTATTAAAATCAAATGCTAAATTGATTTTATAACTGATATTCTGTATCTTCGTTGCATACGATCTACAGACGATTACTCGCTCTCATGGCCAGTGCACAACGTCACGAACGAACGAGAAGCCCATGTGCTTGAATCGTTGGCGAATTAGAACCGTCCATTTTGCGGCAGGGTATTCATTTTGTATTATAACTATAAATACACATGCCTAAACATTACCACATTTAAACATGTGTATTAACCATAATAAATAACATGTTTAAATATTATATTAATATTCAAACACGTGCAATAACCGTTATAATACACATGTTTAAATACTATTATAATAAGCTTCACCGGGCACACAATGGTTCGGTCTTGGGATGCCAGGGGTAGGCGCTTCAGTTCAATCTTATTATTTTTGTTTGTTATGCATCAAATTTTCCCGATTTTAGGTGTGAACACAATTTGTATTTTCTTTTTAATTATAC